CCAGAGTTAAGTTAGGGTTTTTCAAAATGCTGGCATGCTGAGCTCAAAAGGTTCGCCATCACTGCCTTAGGAGCTGTATTGGTGAAGAAATTGCTTTGGCATATGTCTGAGATTTTGCTGCCTGTGGATTCCTCTAATATTTTTATGGTTTCCTGTCTTACATTTAAGTCCTTTATCTGTTTTGAGTTTATTTTTGTGAATGGTGTAAGTTGGTGGTCTAGTTACATTTTTTTGCACGTATTTGTCCAATTTTCCCAACACCATTTTTTGAAGAGGCTGTCTTGACTCCATTGTTCTTGCCTCCTTTGTCAAATATTAACTAAGCATAGTGGGTTTGGGATGATTTTTGGATTCTCTATTCTATTCCATTGGTCTATATGTCTGTTCTTGTGCCCGTACCAGGCAGTTTTGAGAATAATGGCTTTGTAATACAGTTTGATATCCGGTATTGAGATCCCTCCTACTTTGCTCTTCTTTCTCAGGATTGCTGCCAGCTATTCGAGGTCTTTTTTCATTCCAGATGAATTTTTGAAGAGTTCATTCTAGGTCTTTGAAATATGACATTGGTATTTTAATGGGGAGTGCATTTAATCTATAGATTTCTTTGGGTAGTATGGACATTTTAATGATGTTGATTCTACCAGTCTATGAACATGGTATGTTCTTGCATCTGTTTATGTCTTCTTCTATCTCTTTTTTCAGTGTCCTGTAATTTTCCGAGTACAGTTATTTTACCTCCTAAGTTAAGTTTTTTCTTAAGTATCTTAATTTTTTTGGTGTGATGGTAAATGGGATTTCTTTTTAGTCTTTCTTTCTGTAAGTTCACTATTGGTGTGTAGAAATGCCATAGAATTCTTGGCTTTAATTTTGTATCCTGCTACATTGCCGAATTCATTTATTAAGTCTAATAATTTTTTGATGGAGTCTTTAGGTTTTTCCATGTACAGTATCATGTCATCTGCGAATAAGGACAGTTTTACAACTTCTTTTCCCATTTAGATACCTTTTTATTTCTTTTTCTTGTCTAATTGCTATGGCTAGCACTTCCAGAACTATGTTGAACAGCAGTGGTGAAAGTTGTCATCCCTGTCTCGTTCCTGTTCTTAGGTGAAATGGTTTATATTTTTTCCCCATTGAGTATGATGTTGCCTACAGGTTTGTCTTATAATGCTTTTATTATATGACATTGAGGTATGATCCCTCTATTCCCATTTTGCCAAGGGTTTTTTTTTATCAAGAAAGGGTGTTGGATTTTGTCAAATGCTTTTTCTGCATCAATTGATATGACTATGTGGTTTTTTCCTCTCAATTTGTTTATGTGTTGTATCACATTTATTGATTTGCAGAGTCTGGGACCCCTCGGGGGATGACCACCTGCTGGCTTAGGCCTGCTCCCCGGGGGATTAGGCCTAAGCTTGCAGTCAGACATCCCTCTGGAAGCCCAGCAGCCCTTGGGGGATGTCCACTTGCCAGCAGGGAGAAGGCTTAAGCTGCAGTCAGACATGCTTAGGGCTGCTGAGGAGGCAGGAGAGGCTCCCACCACCACCGCTGTACTGGCAGCCATCAGCCTGGCTTGTGGCTGAGCAGAGTTCCCCATGTGGGAGCGCACTGACCACCAGAGGGCAGCTCCTGCATTGATCATCTGCCCCCTGGTGGTCAGTGTGTGTCATAGTGACCAGTCATTCCCAGTGTTTCTGCTGTTAGGGTCAGTTTGCATATTACCCTTTTACTATATATGATAGAGGCATGGTGCACGGGTGGGGGCCGGCTGGATTGCCCTAAAGGGTGTCCCGCATCAGGGTGGGGGTCCCGCTTGGGTGCCTGGCCAGCCTGGGTGAGGGGCTGATGGCTGTTTGCAGCTGGTCATATCCCTTCAGGGTGGGGGTCCCCACTGGGGTACCTGGCCAGTCTGGGTGAGGGGCTGAGGGCTGTTTTCAGGCTGGCTTGCGACTGAAGCTCCCAGCCTCTCCTTTTTTTCTTTTTTTTTAATTCTGGGATTTATTTACCTTCTATAATTGAAATTCTGTTGCCGTCACTGGCACTCCCAGGTTTGAGGCCGCGGCTGACTGAAAGCAGGTATATGGGGTTTGTTTGGCTTCTATAATTGAAACTTTGTGGCCGTCCTGCTCGTTCCAGCTCTGAGGCTGCGGCTGGATGAAAGCAGGTATCTGGGGTTTGTTTAGCTTCTATAATTGAAACTTTGTTGCTCTTGGAGCTATTGCTTTCGGAGCTTAGAGCTGGGCCATGGCAGGCGGGGAACCTTGGCTTCCTCCATCACCAGAGGAAGCAAACCTCCGGCTCGCTTCAGCTGTGTGGCTGCCGGCTGCCATCTTTGTTGGCAGTTAATTTGCATATCTTGCTGATTAGCCAATGGGAAGCGTAGTGGAGGTACGGTTAATTACCCTTTTTGTCTTTTATTAGATAGGATATTTATAGTTATCAAATATCTTATATAATAAAAGAGAAACATGTAAATTAACCATCCCTCTGCTATACTTACTAGCCAATCAGAGTGAGTATGCAAATTAACCTGACAAGGATGGCAGGTTAATTTGAATACACAAGCACCTGGCAGCCATGGCCACACTGGGAAAGTTCTGGTCCTGTGGCTGCTTGCTCGCGCACTGGCACTGGGGAGCCAGGAGCAGAGCGGCGTGTGTGGAAGCCGGGTGCAGGGCCTGGAGTGCAGGAGCAGGCACCAGCGCCAAAAGGCCTGTGTCCCCAGGACAGGCATCCTCAGGAGCCAGGCCACCCCGAGCCTGTAGCCCCGCACCTAGGCCTGGAGTGGCTGGTGTCCCGGAATGTGACAGAGGGTGCACATTGGGCTGAGGGGACTCCTCCCACCCCTGTGTACGAATTTCATGTACTGGGCACCTAATATATGTCCTATCTAATAAAGAGGGAATATGCTAATTGACCTTCATGCCATCGCAAAGATGGCAGCACCCACAGCCAATAAGGATGGAATATGCTAATTGACTGACCCACCCTCAAAGATGGCAACACCGAGGCCAATAAGGAGGGAATATGCTAATTGACTGCCATGCCTTCAAGGATGGCGGTGCCTACAGCCAGAAGATGGCGCCCAGTTCCCTCAGACCAACCGGGGGCGCCTGCCTCCAGAGTCCCCCAGTCTCCTCAGCCCCCTAGCCACCCAGGGCTGGCCCGAGGTGCAGGTAACCAGGGCCTGCTGAGGCTTGTGCTGCCAGCAGTGGCAGCAGCACAGGAGTGATGGGGGTATTGCCTTACCCTGATCGCTCGGTCGCCTCCCACCCCTGAGGGCTCCCAGACTGTGAGAGGGGGCAGGCCAGGCTGAGGGATCCCCCCCTCAAGTGCATGAATTTTCATGCACTGGGCCTCTAGTATGTAT